GAGTGAAATACAAATACTGCAATTCTGAAATACAAATACATCTCAAGGCCGTCGGTCGGCCTTTACGCCACCACTACCTTTCACAGGCAAACGCAAAAAGTCCATCTAGTAGCCTACTCTCCTGAAAACACGGGGCTCGGGAAAACACGGGGCTCGGGGCAGGATTGGAGGCTGACGGAAAAAAAAAAAAAAAAAAAAAAAAAAGAACCAAAAAAAAAGAAAGAAAAGAAAAAGTCCCCGCTCCAGGAACATTGGGAAAGGCCCTCGCGAGGCAAACGCAATTACACCGGTGCTTTTAGCATCATCTATCCGCCCTCAATCACAGCATATAAGGGATTCCTCCTTCTTTTTTTCGTTGCTTCACTGTTTTTTCCCCTAGATGCCCTCACTGAGGGCACAGTCACAAGAGCACCTCATAGAATGTATCTGGTCGCTACCAAGGCGTTTGGGAAGTCTCCTTTTTTCCTTTTTCTTTTTCGTTTCTTTTTTTTTCCCCCTTCTTCTTTCTTCGATGAAACTGCCCCGGGTCGGCCAAACTCGGTGCGCAGTGAAAATCAGGGCCAAACTCGGTGCGCAGTGGTTCAGGAAGAATAGTGGTAGACAGTGGCCAACTGCCTTTCGTGCACGCATCGAAATCACTTCATTGCAGATCCGCGCATATTCATCTAAGCTTACGCGCACAGTCCCCGACGCGTTTCGATTCGATCGGTTGCGCTCCGATCATCCTCAGGGGGCTACCCTCATAACCCTGCCTAGCGGCCCCACCGTCTATCCTCCCGTCTCACTGAGCTTAGAGAGAGGACAACCAGTACGGCCTTGTCCTCCTATATACTGTCCATCGAGTAACCTGCCAGTCAGCGAATTACTCCCACCCAACTGCCACTTCCACAAGCAACTACGGCTACAGCCTTCCTACACATAGACGTTACGTCGAGCTTCGTGAGAGTCAGTTACGTGTCGCTCAACGGGCACGTACGTTTTCAATCCTCGACGGAGTATCTACACCTACGGACTGACTTTCGCCCCATGTATCACGTGTATGGGGCACTATGCCAAATGGGGGCACTCTTAATTATTCCAATGTTCTCCTACCTCCGCCCGTCTACACGCCAATTTCCTATTGGTCTACTCCCTATTGTGTGGATCGTAGTCTCTGTCCTTACTATGTGGCTCCTATTGGTCTACTCCCTAGTCTCTGTCCTTACTATGTGGCTCGGCTTAGTCAGTTACACGCGGGCCGTGCCCGCCTTTCCAATTTCAAACTTGCCGTGCAATCCTTTTCCCACACCGACTTTAAGCGGGAACGATCCGTTAGTGCCGTGACTCGGACACCTAACTCGCCGTAGGGATACCGTGGTCTGCCACTTAGTCCGGTGCCACGTGTGCTTCCAAAAAATTCAGAATCCCGCATATTAGCCTATACTTACAAGTAAAAAAGGAAAAAAAAAAAAAGAAAAAAAAAAAAGCCTATACTTACAAGTCCGAAAGAAAGAAAAATACCCTATAATTTACAAGTCCGAGAAACTTACTACATACGCGCGTCGTTAAAGCGTAGGTCCGTTAGTTCCCAAGCTACAATTCCCCAAAAAAATACGTCCTACCGAATTACGCCGTCAATTACATTAGTACGGCCTATACTTTTTGGTCGCTCCGATAATTCGAAAACTGTTGGGCACTACAGTCAGGGAAAATTCCGTGAGTACGGCGCCCGGTTCAAAAACTGCATTCTCCCAAAAGTTTTTCCGGCGAGCTCTCTTATCCCCCTGTACCAGGTTCTCAAGTAGCCTCATCCAGGCCTCCTTGAGAACACTGGTGCCCTGAGCAAATCGTGCTAGGGCTTCTTCTTCTTCTTCTTCTTCTTTCTTCTTCTTTCTTCTTTTTCTTCTTCAAGAAGAAGAAAAAAAAAAAAAAAAAGAAAGGAAAGTAGAAGAAGAAAAAAAAAAAAAAAAAAAAAAAAAAAAGAAGAAGAAGAAAAAAAAAAGAAAGGAAAAAGACACTAGGACAAAAAAAAAAAAAGCAAAACAACAAAATCGTTCAAGCAGCATATCATCAGTAACTACCACTACATTACTATTGCTAATTAGTAATTAATAATTAATAATTAATAATTAGTAATTACACATGCACATTTTACACAACCAACGACAGTGTGTGTTAAACGAGAAAAGAAGAAGACAGGGTGAATCACAGAATCACGGATGGATTGAGCTCGACCCACTGAATGGAGATAACGGCGCCTAAGGGTCAGGAAATGTGCTTGATAGGCACCAGTGGCCAATGACAACCAGAGTTAAGAATGATTGAACCTGACCACAGACCTGCACGAAGTGCACAACTGAGGAAATGATTTTTTGACTTTCAAAAAGAAATAGTTGCAGTCGAGCACTCAAAGAATTACTCTGAGTGAGTGAACGATCGTGCTAAGAAAACCTAGCGTGGTCGAGTAA